GAGCTGCTGTGGGCTCCGCCCAGCTGCCATTTGATCTTCCCTGCAGTCCTGTTTATATAGGTGTAGTTAGAACTGCCTTGGCAATGGTGGCCTGCCTCTGTTATGGCAGACTCTCTCAGTAGTGCCTGGTTGCCCAAGCAATGGCGGGCTGCCTCAGTGATGGTCAGACTGCCTCCGTAGTGGTGGAGTGTCTCAGTAATGGTGGACGCCCCTCCCCCACAGAGCCAGACCTTCCCGGGTTCAGCTGTGCTTGCTGTGAAACTCTCAACCCAGAGCACTTTCAATTACTGTTTTTTTTTCTTTTTGTGGAGGGGGCGGGTGGGACCAGCTGAGCCTGATCACCTGGCTCCCTGACTCAGAGTCTTTTTTTGTTGTTGTTGTTGAATGGTAGACTCTTCTGCTGTTGAAAAGGCGCCGGATCTCCCGTGCCGCGACTCACTGAGCCAGCTGAAACAGCGGCACTGAGATTCCTGGCAGTTTTTTTGCCTAGGAGTCTCCTGACCTGGCTCACTATTTCAGATGAATGGCTGACTCTGCCGTCTCAGGGCTCCTATTGCCAGCTAAGAGGGCACCTGGACCAACATCTTTTGTACGGAGAACCACCGTGCCAGGGAGCGGGCAAAGCAGTCGCATGGGCCAAAACAGCCGCGCTGGCGACCCGTGGGGCTCCTCTGCCTGGGAATCTCCTGGTCTGTGGGCAATAAAAATCCTTCTAATGCAGCGTCCACTTATCCTCTGCACTTTCACTGGGAGCCGTAATCGTGAGCTGTTACTAGTCGGCCATCTTCCCCCAATCCCCTTGCCTTTTCACTTTCTTAATATAGTCCTTCAATGCACAAAAGTTTTAATTTTGATGAAGTTCAATTTATCTGTTTTCTCTTTTGTTTCTCTTTTGTTGCTTTAGGTGTCATATCTAGGAAACTGTTGCCTAATCCAAGGTCATGATGATTTAAATCTATGTTTAATTCTAAGAGGTTATAGTTTTAGTTCCTATATTTAGGTCTTTGATCCATTTGGAGCTAATTTCTACATATGGTGTGAGGCAGGGATCCAAACTCATTTGTGTATGGATGTCTGGCTGTCCAATTATAATTTATTTAAGATTATTTATTCCCCATTGAATAGTCTTGACATCCTTGCCAAAAGTCAATTGATTGTATGGGTATGGATTTATTTCTAGATTCTCAATTCTATCCCATTGATCTGTTTGTCTATCCTTATGCTAGTACCAGGCCATCTTGATTAACATAGCTTTGATTCAGGATTTAAAATTAGGAAGTGTAAGTCCTCCAACTTTGTTTTTCTTTTTCAAGATTATATTGGCTACTCTGGGTTCCTTGCACCTCCAAATGAATTTTAGGATCATTTCTGCAAAACAGGCAGCTGGAATTATGGCAGTCATGTTTTACCTATTTATTTGGCACTCTTGTTACTGGGTCAGAAACTCAAGAAGTGAGGGTGATTCAGGGTACTTAAATTTAAATATTACCCCATTTCCTCCAATAACCACTACACATATTTGGTAAAATGATGGATTATCAATTTAGGAGTTCAAAAACGTTCAGAGAGAACAGTATGTTCTGACTTGGAATGTCGTCTCTCTCTTCTGCCCTGCTGTCCTTGCCCAGCTTGGATACTAGAAGCAGCCTGCATTCTGGCCTGTGCCCTGCACAAAAGCTGGAGGACTTTTAGCAGGTTGCTTTCTTCTCCAGAAGTCTAGGCCCTAACCTAATTCTTAGCAAGGGCTCTGGTTCCGTCGCATGGAATATATTTAAAAAATATATTTTAAAAAACATATTTTGGAGTTGAGTGGATGTCACCTACCTGGTGGGTCTTGAAGTCTTAACATACTAACCACAGTTTGAGGACCAAGCCGTTGGTCCAGCCCTGTGATGCTGCAGATGAGAAACTAGAATCCTAAAGGAACGCAGGGTTTTTCTTCCTCGCATCTTTCTGTCCATTTTCTAAGCTGAAACCTGAGGTTTTGTGCGACTCACAGCCCTGCAGTGAAGATTCGGAGGCTGAAGGTGAATAAGGCGTTTAGTAAAGAGCCTTAAAAAATAGGCCGCGGGAGGCGCACAAGGCTTCTCTCTCGTGATGCTGCCCTCCTGCCGCAGCGCTGCCCACGCCCTCTCCGCCGAACTCCGCCCCCGCCTCAACCCCAGGTTCTTCCAGCTGCGGAACTGAGAACCGCAGCCCCGGCCCCGACCGGAAGCCCCACCCCGCCGCCGGAGACGCGGACTCGGGAGCGCGCACGTCAGCATCCCGGGTGGCCGAGTCGCGTCCCGCACTCCGCACGGGTAACGCCTGCCAGCCTCGCAGCGCCCTCCCCGGGGTCGTCGCGGGCGAGATTTCCGAACTCCCGACGCTCTCGCGGCTCCGCTCAGCCCTGACTTCCGAGGGCCCGCGTCCGCCGCCCCCCCCCCATTTCTGGAACCTTTAGTTCCGGCCCTCGGACTTAGGAGAACGTGGGAGGATGGTGGTGGGGTTTTGGATGCTTTACGTTTTCTGCTGGGTTTGGGCAGTCCTTGGGGAACCCCGAAACCGAAGTCCGCGGTGTATTCAGGGGCTGGGAGTGGAACCTCAGGCGCCTGCGAGCACCCTGAGGGCTTGGGCCGCCCTCCTTGGCGGGATGACTAGCGCAGGCAGCCTCAGAGAGCTGGGGGCCGGCCTCCACCGCCGGGAGTGCCGTGAGCTGCTGGCGTCCGAGTCTCTGCCTTGCTCCACCCACTCTCACAAAGCCCCTCCACCTCCCTCAGGAGCTCCCTTCCACCCACCTTCCTGTCCCCAGCCTTCGGACTACTGTTTTCCGTATTATTTATTTACCCTGGTTATTAGTCACAGTTTCTCTGACCTTTTCCATTCTGGAATAGGTTCCAGAGGAGTCACTTACACGGGAAAATTATTAGAATATAAAATCCCAGAGGTCACGTAGTCCAGGTCCCCATCCCATGCTTGGAGCACTCAGAGCAGCCTCACAACAGCGCTTGGTTTTCTTCCTCAACTTCACCACCACCTGCGGTTGCTGATTCCGCCTCTGGCTTAAGTGGAACCCAATCATGTGTATGTCTCTGTGGCTCTGCTCTCTTGGCCTGGGAATGCTGCTCCTGGAGGCCATTGGACAGAACAGGGACAGTCCTGTTGTATGAAGGGCATGGGTCTGTGCTAATCAGGCCCGCTCCCTCCATGACCTGTGCAGAGCCCTGCGCCAGCCCCTCTGCCCACTGTTCCAGGACAGTTGTTCTACATCCTCCTTCCCAATGCCCGAGGTGTTCCTTCCACCCAGGGAAGGACATTTCAAAAATATTTTCTTCTGCTGTACCTTACGGCCCTGCCTGCTCCTGCCCTCACTCCTGCCATGGTTTCTTTGGCAGCTCAGGCGTAGCATTTAAGTCTGGTCCTATGAAGGCTTTCTTTCTGTTACTCCAGGGTCTTGGGCAGTTTGCAATGGCTTTAACTCTTACTACAGAATTGCAGAAATTCCTCTCTTTGTGGAAGACACTGCTAGCCCCCGCCCCATTCTGTTTTATGGAACACTGTGCCTGCTTTGCTTATCCACTGCAGTTAACTTTTGGAGTAACCCAGATTTCATCTCTTTGACATGGACTCACGTACACGGTGACCTTGTGTCCTGGGTTGCCGGAGATAGTTCTGGCTTATACCGTTGTCCCAGCATAATCACATTCAAAAGATTCATGGTTTGTATGATCCAGCTTGTCTTTGTCTCTAAGTTAGATGCACTTAAATTTGTGATTAAGAGAGTGGCACGTGGCAGCCCATGTGAGTCTTGCACTGGCCCACAGATTTTAGAGCCACAGACTAAGAAACCAGAATTCCTCCAAGTCAGTGTTCATACCCTTCATGTAGGTAGAGAGCTTTGGGTGGCTTTGCCCCCAGAGTGTAGGGGTTTCCCTCCCATCCTGGCACAGAAAGTCCAAGCTAATACTGAGAAGTATGTCTAATCAAATTCATCCCCAGTTACTATGGGGCTTTGAAGCCAGTCCTCCTAAATTCACTGTCATGCTCCAGAGGAAGGTGGTGTTCAAGCCCAGCTCCTTGACATGGCACCTGCCTCCTGGAAAAGTAACTGACGTGGAAGTGTGACCGAAGTTAGGCCTGAGGTGTTCTGGGCTTCCCTAGGAACCAGAGAACTCAGTCCATGCAGGGCCAGTTAGTTTTAAAGAGACTGCATGTCAGCACTTCTAACTGTCCTAGCATTAGGCTAAGAGGTAGAACCCTGGTTATCCACTAGGATGACCAACCATCTTTGCCTGGGATTGAGGGGTTTCCTGGTACGTGGGTCTTGTGGAGCTGTGTGTGCTTTGGCTTTGCCTCGTGGGATGTGGGAGCTTTGAGACCAGGTGCCTCTGGGACTGTCCCCTCTGCAGGCTTCCAGGATCATGTGGTACGTTAGCACCAGGGGCATGGCCCCACGGGTCGACTTTGAGGGGGCCCTCTTCTCTGGCTATGCGTCCGACGGAGGCCTCTTTATGCCTGAGGAGCTCCCACAGTTGGACAGAGAGACCCTGTGTCAGTGGAGCACACTCTCCTATCCTGGCCTCGTGAAGGAGCTGTGCGCCCTCTTCATTGGCTCTGAGCTCATTCCAAAAGATGACTTAAATGGTGAGCACTCCCACCTCTACTTCCAGTCCCCCAGCCCCTGCCAGCTCAGTCTACAGAGTTGCAAATCCATCACCAAACCACTAAGAAGTCTATAATCACGTTTCTCAAACTTTGGGATTTTTTCCTGCTTCTAGAATCCCAGACCTGAAAATATTCTGAAAGATTTCATCCTTTCTCCAGCAAGATGAATGTTGAAATTACTTACAGGGAATTCTTTCTTTCCTTTTCTTTCTTTCTCTGCCTCTCCCTTTCTTTCTTCCTCTCTTTTCTCCTTCCTTCCTTCCTTCCCCCCTCCCCTTCCCCCTTCCTTCCTTCCCCCCTCCCCTTCCCCCTTCCTTCCTTCCTTCCTTCCTTCCTTCTTTCTTTCTTTCTTTCTTTCTTTCTTTCTTTCTTTCTTTCTTTCTTTCTTTCTTTCTTTCTTTCTCTTTCTTTCTCTTTCTTTTCTTTTCTTTTCTTTTCTTTTCTTCTCTTTCTTTCTTTCTTTCTCTCTCTCTCTCTCTCTCTTTCTTTTTTTCTTTCTTTCTTTCCTCTCTTTTCCTTCTTTTTTTCTTTCTCTCTCTCCCTTTTTCTTTCTTTCTTTCTTCAAAAACCTCTTCAAGACTAGGGATTTTAGAATTATCTTTAGTGACTTGAATGTTGCGGTGTTTCTTTCCTGCACATAAAGCACCCAGACCCCCAAATTGCTATTTTGTTTTTTGAATGGTAATTCCAGAGGGGACTTCAAGACTGTCTGGGACCAGCTTGTCTTAAGCTGTAATGTGCCTATGGATTCCCCTGGGGATCTTCTTAAAAAGCAAATTCTGATTTAGTAGGTCTGGGGTAGGTGTGAGAATTCTGCATTTCTGTCAAATGTCCAGATAATACTAGACTACTGGTCCATGAACCACACTTTAAGTAGCAAGTACAAAATCCATAACATAGTGGTGGTGGTTTGGGGTTGGCAAGAGAAACGACCACTTAAAATGCAGTCCAGTGACCAGCAGTGATGGCATTGCTTGGGCATTTGTTGGAAATCCTAGACTCCCTCCAGCTGACTGAACCAGCCTGCATTTTAACAAGATCCCAGGGGCTTGGTTTGCCCGTGACAGTTTGAGAAGCTCTGCTCCAGGACTTCTACAGTTTGCTTTAGGGACGATTGTATATCAACCATCCAAAGGTTCTGGTGTCACAGGTGTGAGAGTTAGTAATGCAGCAAAGAAAAAGCTTCCTCTTTTTAGGAAGGAACATTAGATGGGATGTGACATTATTGTGTTATGTAGCTATTTAATTGACCCCTGATTGGAGTACTTGCTAACAAGACAGTTAAACAATGAAGTATAAAAAGTGAAAAATAAAGTCTTTTAGTACCAGTTCTAGTCTCTGGAGAAATCACTATAAGGAATCTATGAACAGTTTGGTGTATGTTTTCCCAGACTTTTTTCTAGGTTTATACAATTGTATTCAAAAATGGTATCATTTAAGATGAAAATTTCTGGCCTTTTAACTTAGTAGCAGGAGTTGGAAACTTTATATTCAGAGACTGAGAGGGGACTTGAGAAAGAGACCAGGCCCCTCAGTGGCTCTCCAACCCCCCATCCTCACAGATCTGATTGACCGAGCCTTCAGCAGATTCCATCACAGAGAGGTGGTCCATCTGTCCAGGTTGAGGAATGGGCTGAACGTGTTGGAGCTGTGGCATGGCGTCACATATGCATTTAAGGACCTGTCCCTGTCCTGCACAGCACAGTTCTTACAGTACTTCCTGGAGAAGAAGGAGAAGCACGTCACAGTGGTCGTAGGTATGTTTCGGGGCATGAACGCAGAATACCTGAGTGTAGGGCGTCCACCTATAGGATGTCATTCATTGAGCCACTCAGGGACTATGTTACCAGTTCTTCCAGAGCAGGGTTCCTAACCTTTTCTGGTGCCATGGACCCCTTTGCCAGGCTGATGGAGGCTGTGGATCTTTCTCAGAGTAATGTTTGAAATGCCCAAAATGCTTAAGATGATGTCGTTCACAAGTTCACTGATGTCCTGAATTTTATCTGTGGATCCATGGACCCTAGGTAGAGTGCTAGGTTTGTATCCTCCAAGTATTTGAAGTAGTTGTTGCTTTATTTGACAACAGTGCTTTGGGGACCATTTGTTTCCTCATTCATTCCCTTTGTTCTAAAGGGGGCGAGTTCTTCTTTCTTCCCATCCAGGAACGTCTGGGGACACCGGAAGTGCTGCCATTGAGAGTGTTCAAGGGGCAAAGAACGTGGACATTATCGTTCTGCTGCCCAAAGGTCACTGCACAAAGATTCAGGAGCTCCAGATGACAACAGTGCTGAAGGAGAACGTCCATGTGTTTGGAGGTGTGTGCTGAGGCAGAGTCTCTGGGGACAGTGCAGCCTTACCTTAATTGGGTCTGCGTTGGGAGATGGGCCGGTAAATTTCACCCCTCTCCCCTCCCAAATGTAGATCCAATGGAGAAATACTCGGGCATCAGATAAGAAATCAGTATTGTCTTGATTGCTTGTTGAGCTAGATTGGGGGATATAACTTTTATTAGAAGACAATTCACCCATAAATTTATCCGGCAATTCACTCATAAATTACACTGATGCACACACCCAGCTTCAGGGATGGGAAGTTCTGTCCATGTAAGCTTACCTGCCTTGCAGGAGCAGAGAGCAGAACCCCTACCCTGTGATCTAAATGAGGGCAGAGGGCACAGGGGAATGGTGACAGTTTCCACCTTGGCCCCTGATAGAGGACTGTGGAGGAAAGGCTAGTTCTCTTACCATCTCACAATCAGGCACACAGTTCCTCCTCTGTGGAAGAGTGGGGGAAGTGGGCATGGAATACGAAGAGAAATTCTCCCAGTATCACAGAAGTTTGACATTTGTTATCTTATTTTAGATAATGGTAGAAACATTGGAACTGGTTCTGGCTGCCCTTTTTGTTCTAAGCTAGGGCAGATCTTTAGGAACACAGGAATCTGGGGCATGGTTTTTGTCCTTGAGGACCTTAACATTGAGTCTAGAAAGTGAGGCCAAGCTATGTGAAAGTAAAGAAACCAATGCTGTGCGAAGGTCCCAGGAGGTTGGGCTTAGCCTGGGAGGGCCTTGTCACAGGTGAGTGCTGACCTCCTGGGGATTCTACATGCTCCTGACAGCTGCCCTCTCTTCTCTCCCCGGCAGTGGAGGGAAACAGCGATGAGCTTGATGAGCCGATCAAGGCCGTGTTTGCTGATACGGTTTTTGCCAAGAAGCACAATCTGATGAGCCTGAATTCGATCAACTGGTCCCGGATACTGGTGCAGATGGCCCACCACTTCTTTGCATACTTCCAGTGTGCACCGTCCTTGGACACGCATCCCCTACCCCTGGTGGAGGTGGTTGTGCCAACAGGGGCTGCTGGTAACCTTGCAGGTAAGGAGCTCCCGGGGCACAAATGGGCTTTCCAGAAAAATGCCTGTGGCCCCAGTCCTTCTAGCTGCCCTTTGGCTGCAACTGTGAGGAGAAAGAAGGTGGAGTCCCAGTTCTGAAGGTGATGGGAAAGCCCACAGAAGAAGCTCCCAGAAGATGTCCCACCTCATTGCCTGGGGCAGCATCCTGGGCTCCTGCTACCATCAGAGGGTGATGGGTTAACCCCGAGTGCTCCTGCAGTCTGATCCAATGTCCTTGCTGGCTCAGCAGAGTGTGGAGAGGCAAGGTCAAGGATCGGCTGTTGGTCTGGCTGGAAGTGCCCTCAATCAGAAATGTGGACTTTGCTCCCAACCCTGGTCAGCTGCCCACTGTGAGGACAAGTGGCTTGACTGGCACATATGTTCCCACTCCTGGACACACTATCCTGACCCCGTGTAAAGTGGAAAAAGTTCTGGACTTGGGGTTCTGGCCCAAGTTCTGTTCTTTACTAGCTGAGAGGCTGTGGAGCAGTCCTTTAGACCCAACCTCTGAGCTATAAAATGAGATTGTATCATCATATCTCCCAGGACTGCCTCGATGAGCAAATAAGATTCCTGTGTGCATGCAGACTTTGTAAGGGCAAAGTGCTGTACACCTGTGTAGCATTAAAATCATTTCTCTAATAATCATTAATATTTATCAAGGACTTACTGTGCAACTGGCACTGTTCTAAGTGCTTTTCATGTATTAACTCATTTATCCTCCTGTGGAGAGGATATTTTCCATTTTGTAATGAGGAAACAAAGACACAAAGAAAGCAGTCATGCCCTGATTACAGAGTTGGGCAGCAGTGGAGCAAGGAGCGTGACCCAGGCAGTCTGGCTGCAGAGCTGACAAGGATAGGGGGATTACTGTTCCTGATAGTTCTAGCAATGGCATTGGTTCTGATGGGCACCAAGGATGGTCTAGCTGAGAGCACAGAAGCATCTTAGTGGTTAGGAAGCTTCCTGACCTCTGCCACTAATGGGGATGGAGAGAACAGTGGGCTGGCAGGCAAGGAGGGATGGGCTTCTTTGCCACTATGGGGTAAAGCCCACCATGCTCCCCATTCCTATCACCCTCCAATTAGTGATGCACCAAGTTGTACAGCCAGTGGCCCTCTGCGGCCCAGAGCCTACCACAGTGCTTGATACAAAATAAACACGTGGCCAACATTTGCTGAGGGTGTTTCTATCCATCTTTCCTCTGTCATGAACCAACTCTTTGGCTTTAAGGCCCTGGACATTCCTGAGCCTCCATTTCTCCTCTGTCAGGCAAGGATAGCATGATGTTCTCATGAGGATCAGGTGAAATAAGAATGAGAAAATTAAGATCAGTAGTTCAAGACCAGCCTGGCCAACATGGTGAAACCCCATCTCTACTAAAAATACAAAAATTAGCCAGGCATGGTGGTGCATGCATGTAATCTCAGCTACTCAGGAGGTGGAGGCAGGAGAATTGCTTAACCAGGAGGTGGAGGTTGCAGTGAGCTGAAATTGCGCCATTGCATTTTAGCCTGGGCAACAGAGACTCAGTCTCATTAAAAAAAAAAAAAAAAAAAAAAAAAAAAAAAAAAGAATGAGAAAGTGTTTTTCCAAGTTAAGAGTGATATTAGATGGTGTGGCTGTCCCTAACTCCTCTTAGCTACTCACCAGAGGTAAACTGCTCATGAAAGCACCATGTGTAAAACCTTACTAAATGATGTGACGTGTTTGGGCTCTACACCTCTCAGGGGGAGGAATTCCTTGCTTGTCCCATGAAAACAAGACCTGCTGTTGGGATGGACTGAGGGTGCTGCTCTGGCCTCCCCTGGTGCCTGTGCAGGGAATGTAGTCTGAAGCTACTGACTCTAGGAAGCTGAGTCAAGGGAGGGTATGTGCTCTGGACGTGGGTGTATTTTGAATCCTGACTCTGACACTTCACAGCCTTCGGACAGCTCATTTTGACCTCTTGGAACTTTCATTTCCTCTTCCAAAAATTGGTGTTTTACAGTAGTCAGCCATCTATTAAATACTTTGGCACCTGGCAGGGGGCTGACGCATAGAACTGCCTCATGGTGTGGTGATGTGCTCCTAGTCATTCTCCGCTCTCTCGCTCGCTTGCTCTCTCTCTTCTCTCTCTCTCTCTCTGTGTATGTGTGTGTAACAGGTTTATTGCTAAATGATTCACATACCATTCACACATTTTAAATATATGATTCAGTGGTTTTTAGTTTAATATATTCACAGAGTTGTGCGACTATCACCATAATCAATTTTGGAATGTTTACATCATGCTGAAAAGAAACGCTGTACCCATTAGTAGTCACTCCTGACTTTTCCTTAGACCACCTCCTTCGCCAGCCCTCAGCAACCATGAGTCTACTTTGTTTCTATAGATTTTCCTATTCTAGACATTTTCTATAAGTGGAATCAGAGTATGTGGTCTTTTGTGCCTGGCTTCTTTCACCTAGTATGATGTTTTCAAGGTTCATCCATGTTGTATCATATATCAGTACTGTCGCTATTGTGTGGTTATACCATACAGTGGTATATTTTATTTATCAGTTTATCAGCTGATAGACATTTGGATTGTTTTAACAGCTCGGTGGTTATGAATACTACCACAGTGAACATTTGTGTATAAGTTTTCATGTGAACATATATTTTTATTTCTTTTTGGTATGTAACTAGGAGTGTAATTTCTGGGTTATATGATAACTCTCTGTTTAATATGTTAAGGAACTGACAGACTTCAGTTTTCTGAAGTGGCTGCACCATTTTATGTCACCACCAGCAGTGTAGGAATTTTCCAGTTTCTCCACATCCTCACCAACACTCATTATCTGTCATCTTGATTCTAACCCTCCTAGAGGGTGTGAAGTGATGTCTTGTGATTTTTGTTTATATTTCTCTCATCACTAATGATGTTGAACATCTTTTCATGTGCTCATTGGCCATTTGTATGTCTTGTTTGAAGGAATGCCTGTTCTTTTGTCCATTTTTAAATTGGGTTATTTGTATTTTTATTGTTGAGCTGCAACAGTTCTTTATATATTCTAGATACAAGTACATTATCAGATATATGAATTGCATTTTTTCCCATTCTGTGAGTTGCCTTTTTATTTTCTTGATCGTATCGTTTTTAAAGCACAAAAGCTTCAAAACGCAAAAGTTTCTTAATTTTGATGAAGCCCAATTTACTTTTTTATTTTCTTTCTAAAAAGCTGTTGTTCTCCTGTCTTGTCTTAAGCTGGGTACATTGCTCAGAAGATAGGCCTGCCCATCCGTCTGGTTGTGGCAGTGAACCGCAATGACATCGTCCACAGGACTGTCCAGCAGGGAGACTTCTCTCTGTCTGAGGCTGTTAAATCAACCTTGGCATCAGCTATGGACATTCAGGTAGGCCTGGGGGAGGTGTGCAGATCTGGCCCAGGTATTAGTTGGGGCTGGGTGGGGCTGGGTGGGGCTGGATGGGGCTGAGATCAGTGTGGGCCTGAAACTGACTTTCTGCCTAGGTACCCTATAACATGGAGAGGGTATTCTGGCTGCTCTCTGGCTCTGACAGCCAGGTGACAAGAGCCCTCATGGAGCAGTTTGAAAGGACTCAAAGTCTGAATCTGCCCAAGGAACTGCACAGCAAGGTCAGTCACTACCCATACACCACAGAGAAAGGAAAGAGTATAGCCACATTGCAGACCTGGGGTTTGGAAGTCTGGTCAGGGGAAGAGGACACCTCTTTCTTGAGGAAGGGAGGGAGGGAGGGAGAGAGGGAGGGGCGAACTCAACAGGAACAATGGTCTCTGTTCATACTGGATGGGCAAAATGGTTCCCAGTTGCCAGAATTATTAGAAATTAACACCCATAATAAGTAAAACTAAGTTAATGTATCAAGCCATATATTATCAGGAAGTATGCAAAGTGCCTCATGTATATTATTTGACTTAAATCTCATAACAACTCTATGAGGTTTACTATCCACATGTTATAGATGAAGGAACTGAGGCACAGAGTTTAGGAAACTGGCCCAGTGTCTCAGAGCTCACTTGGGATTGAGGCCATTTGACTCTAAACCATGTTCTCTATTACCTCTCCTCATTCAATCAATTATTACATGTAAAGTGGCAGTACAAGTGACTGGCTCAGAGCTCAAGAAACAGGTGTCCTCTGAGTGGCCATCCAGACTGTGCATACCTCCAGTGACCTGGCCCTCACTGCCTCACACCAGCTCTCACCATTACAAAAGTCTTTATGTTGAGCTGGAATCTGCTCCTAGCTTACACAGCCTGATTCTATATCCTAGTATTTCCTGTATTTAAAGAGAATCCCCATTTACCAAGTTAGTCTTCTCACTTCCTTTAGCGGTCCCTTGCATGATGTAATTTTGCGTGGTCATTATCCACCTTAAAGTGTTGTTTTCAAAGTTGGATACAGTTCTCCAGGCTGAGCCATACCAGTGCAGACTGGAGCAGAATTTTGGCCTTCTGGAATCTGTGCCTCTTTTGATGCACCCAAAGATCAATTTGTTTGGTTAATGGTTTGTTTTGACATTCACATTCCTTCTCATATAAATGAGGTTCTCCGTGAAGACAGACACCATACCCCCCCACTCCTTCATTCTCTCTCTGGCTATACACATAGAAGACACTTTACTTGCTGGAATGGCATTCATCCATTCATGTTATATATCTACTGTGAGCCAGGAACTGTGCTAGGTGCGAGAAACACAGACAAGTAAAATACATTCATTGCCTGCTGGGAACCCTAATTCACAGCAGGTAGCTATATGAAAATCTATGATACCAGCTAGGTAAGGTGGCTCATGGCCTGTAACCCCAGAAATTTGGGAGGCCGATGCAAGCAGATCATTTGAGGTCGAGAGTTTGAGACCAGTCCGGCCAACATGGTGAAACCCTGTCTCTACCAAAAAAAAAAAAAAAAAAAATTAACTGGGCATGGTGTTGCGTGGCTGTAAATCCCAGCTACTTGGGAGGCTGAGGCAGGAGAATCACTTGAACCTGGGAGGTGGAGGTTGCAGTGAGCCAAGATTGCATCACTGTACTCCAGCCTGGGCAACAGAGAGAGACTCTGTCTCAGAAAAAGGAAAGAAAAACAGCTGTGATCTTTATTGCAGTCAAGTATATGCAGGGTGCTTGATGTATTGTAAGCATGCAGTACATTTTCAGAAGATGATCAAATAAACCAAACACACTGACAAGGGAGTCCTCCTCTGTCTGAAGGAAGCAGAGAGGGCTTCCTGGAGGAAGTGCTCGGTGAGCTGAATAGGAACTGACAAGAAGGAGGTGTGCCAACAACCAAGCACCAGATATGTGGCTGCCCGAAGCCTTCTGGCTATGGCAGGTTGTTGAACAAATCTTTATTTGTTGACTAAGAGACAAATCCCAACTAAATGGATTGACATAAAACTCAAATGGATCCTAAAATTGAGTGAGTCAGCTCAAAACTGGGAGGCTGTATTTTATTGTGAGCCACATCTGAGCCATTCTGTCTGAATGTCCCATTGGATCCTTGGGTTTTGTGTGGGTCTGTGGTGGAGAGTGGGGTTTTGTCATCTTTCCCTGCTTCCCCCTACACTGAGTCTCATCCTTCTGACTTGGGACCCTTCAGCTTTCAGAGGCAATGACATCCGAGTCAGTGTCGGATGAAGCCATCACCCAGACCATGGGCCGCTGCTGGGACGAGAACCAGTACTTGTTGTGCCCCCACTCGGCGGTGGCCGTGAACTACCATTACCAGCAGATGGACAGGCAGCAGACCAGGTATAGGCTATGGGGGCCTGGGTCACTGGAGGACCATTTGAGTTTCAGGGGCCCTCTTCTTTTCTAAGCAGCGGGAGAGACAGGAATGGGAACAAATGGCTGTAATGGAGTGTGATGGGTGCTGTGTGGAACTGGGCCCTGGAAACTGTGGGCCTAGAAGAGGGAGCATGACAGGTATCCCAAGGACAGCCATGGGCAGAGTTGGTGGCTGAGCTGGCCTCCAACCAGGAGGAGGAATTTGTCCAGGTAGCATTATTGTAGCAATAAGTTTGAGGTACCAATCGTCTGTCTGTGTCTCTCTCCTCCATACCTCACACTATCCCTAAACTTCCCCTGTTCCTTCTTCTTCCTCCTCCATCTTTTCCTTTCCCATCCGTCTGTCTATTCTCTCACTGTCCTCCTGCTGCCACCTGCCCCCATCCCCAGCAGCACTCCCCGGTGCTGCCTGGCCCCTGCCTCTGCAGCCAAGTTCCCGGAAGCTGTCCTGGCTGCTGGCCTGACTCCTGAGACTCCTGTGGAGATTGTAGCCCTGGAGCACAAGGAGACACACTGCACCCCGATGCGGAGAGGTGACTCCTGGACGCTGATGCTTCGGGACACCATTGAGGACCTTAGCCGGCGGTGGAAGGGCCGTGTTCTGAACGCCTCCCAGTAGCCTGGCTGGAGGTGGCTTCCTTTAGCTTCAGATCCCAGGGAGGTGCACCCTCTAAGCTGCCTTGTGCACCCTCCCCATTAAGCATAGGTTAGGAGGTTCCTGGGAGGCTGCTTAGCTGGGTCTGGAGCCAGCTGGCTTTGCTCTGTTCCCTGGCTTCTCTGTGCCCGGTCATCAGGGAGGCTGAGTGAGGGGGTGTGAACAGTTGCCAGAAGTACCCCCTCCCTCCCTGGCTCGAGCAGCAGTGTCACAGCTGTAGTGAAAGTTTCATGGCCTGCAAAAGAAGAGCCTTGGGCACAGGATTGACCATGGCTCCAGGGGTTTAGGACCCCAGACCTGTGAAGGTGGGGGTGGCTCACCCCCTTCATGCAGGCCTTATATGGTCTCTGAGCCTTAGTTGATTTGGCCCCCCAAACCAAATCCAAAGCTTCTGGCCCGCCTTGTCAGAGGCTTCCACCCTGTTCACGTGTTGGGAATCCCTGGAATAAAATGTTTTTTCAGTGTGATGGAGATGGCATGTCCTGTGGGGAGGTCCCTTCCTAGAAGAGCTGTAGGACTCGGGGCAGCCCTGGGGGCTGCTGAGTGGTGGGCTGAGGTGTGTGTGGCATCACTCTGCTGCCCTGCATTGGCCCAGGCTTGAGGGGCCAGCAGAGAAGGCATGAGCCTGTGGCCCTGGTGGTGGTGGCATCCATAGAGGCTGAGGTGGGGCTCATCCTCCAAAGATGGAGGCTTTGTGGGAAAGCATTGGCATCAATGTCAAGGTGCCCTGTTGCTCATACATCACTTGGAATTGAGCCTATTTGACTCAAGTTCCAATCCAATTCATCAGGTTTCAGTCATGTGTGGGTTGAGGAGAGTTTTAGACAAACACATGAACAGCAATACAAGCCCCATGTCTTGATGCTAGAGGCCCCTAAAAGGGCAGGGGAGGCAGGCATTAGATGGAGGGATTTTTTTTGCCACTAGAGGACGCTGTTGCCACCACCCTGGGGGCTGCTGTGAAATGACCTAGTGGACATCTGTCCTCCAGAGCCCTCTTCCCCTGCCTGCCTCAAGATCTAAAGGCACTGCTCACCCAGGTGCAACCCCTGCAGGGCATTCCCCATCAGAACATCCCAGCCGCACATCTCCGTGGGACTAAAGGGAAGGCCTGTGGCACCCTCTGCTGGAAGACTGGACTTTGGGATACTGCAATCAGTACCCAGAGGGGAGGACAGGGATGCTGGACCCCAGGAGGACAGAAGGAGTGTTCTTAAAGGAGTGACAGTGACTCCTTACCAGCCACGACACTTGGCAGTTTCTGAGACATTTTAACATCCACAGCAGCAGACACTGATGCATCCCCTGGGACCACTTACCCATTAGATATGATAGGCCCAATGCCTAGGGGCCACCATTCATTAAAGACCCATGAAAATGTCTTCAGTTCTTTTAAAACCAAAATAAAACAGTGAGTATAATCCAGCTGGGATTTTATTCATTTTTCTTCTAACACAGTTTTACCATAGAATTTTAAATATATTTTTTTATAGAGGAAGATACCCATGAAAGCAAAAGTGCCCAGTACCCACAAAAGTTACTGTGCAGCCCTGATAATACCTACTGTGTGCCAGGTGGCATTTTACCAAAATTAGCTCATTTAATCCTGACAGCAACGTGTGAAGCAAGTGCTACTGTTTCCCCCATGTTGTGGGTAAGAACACAGGCTCTGAGAGATGAGGTAACTTACTGGGGTGGCAACACTGGGAACAGAGAGGTCAGGACTTGAACCCACACATCGGAGCCTCCAGTTAGATGTTTATTTCTCCTCATACACAGCCTCCTGTGTCAGTGGGCACAATCATATGGGGCTTGCTCTGCTGCCTGCTTCCCTCCATCCTTCCCTAGGCCCTGGCCCTACTCCTGAGTCCTCCTGCCATCTTCCTTTCTTGGATTGGTCTGGGAGATGGCCGTGCTTCTCCAGGAGTCCTCCAGGGGCCGCTGCAGCCCTGCTTTCCTGGTTTCTGTAACTGGCACTGATGCCTGCTGCGGGCAGGCCCATGCAGGTGGCTCCTTTTTCTTTGCTGCTATATTCTGAGGACCTCTGGCCAGGACCAAGGTCACAAGGAAACCCCATCCACTGAATGGTTCTGGGACCTATCCAGCTCTGAGAGGCCACCATGCCAGTGAGGGAGGCCCAGAATAAGGTCACACCAGGCACAGCGCACATCGACAGGAAACCTGAATTGAGGCTACACTGGTCACAGGGAGTCCTGGGGAAATGAGAAGAAGGATGAGAGTGAGATGAAGTCTGGGGAAGTGCCCACCCCTGTAACACACATACACACACATGCACACACACACATGAGCTGAATTGTGTCACTTCCACTATATGTTGAATGTACAGTATCTCTGAATGTAACTGTATTTGGAGATAGGGTCTTTAAAAAAGTAGTTAATTAAAACGAAGTCCTTATGCTGGGCCCTCAACCAGTGGGACTGGCATCCCTTATTTTATAAGAGGAAATTAGGACATAGACCATAGACATGCATGCACAAAAGGAAAACCGTGTGAAGTCAGAGGAAGAAGGTGGCCATCTGCAAGCCAAGGAGAGAGGCCCCAGAACTAAAGCAACCCTGAGGGTGCCTTGATCTGAGACTTCCATCCTCTAGAACTGGGAGGAAATAAATTTCAGATGTCTAAGTCTCACCCAGTCCCAAGGAGACTCTCTCTCTGTCCGTCTGTCTGTCTGTCTCTCTCTCTCTCTATCTCTCTTACACACATACACACACATGCACACACACACACACACAGTGGAAAAAACAAGGATTTTAGTACTAGATGAAGTAAGAATCAGGGTGGAGCCTTTCTTTTCTGCATCACCCACTTACTGGTAGTGATCACAACTAAGCCATTTAATCTCTGGGAGCCGTGGTTTCCTCGTCTGCATTTAACGAAATAGATGATCCCTGACTTAGGACTTTGCAACTTTAGGATGGCGATAAAGTCCTGTGATCATGAGGATAAATAGCCCATATTCCACAGTGTGCTGTGTTGACAGATGACTTTGCCCAACTGTAGGCTAATGTAAGTGTTCTGAGCACATTTAGGGTAGGCGAGGCCAAACGATGATGTTTCTGTAGGTTGAGGGTATTAAATGCATTTTCAACTTATGAAGGGTTTATTGGGATGTAACTATGTAAGTTGAGGAACATCTGTACTTACCTTGCTGGTTTGCTTTGAGGATTACATGAGATGAAATAATGTATTTCCAAGTGCTGGGTAAACTCTCAAATGCCATACAAATGGTTCTTACTATTAACACAATTATAGTTTGCACTGAACAATTTAGTACTTTTAAGCTATCTTGTGTTTTTTACTAATTGCTTTGTGAATTAGTCTTATCTTGCCTGTGATGTTGCCTCTTCCTTAAGGATAAAGTTCTTCTGTGCCCGCCCCCGACCTCCACAGTGCTGACGCAGCTTTGGGCATAGGGTTAGAGACTGACCTGGCCCAGCCAATGTGCCCCACAACAGGATCTGTTAGGGTCTCTGGTGACCATATGCCACAGATTAGTCAGTAGTGGCTCTGCTAGCCAGTTAACAAACTATGTTAATTTGCAGTGATGATGAGGATAGCACAATTCCTCTCTTGAGCACCAATGATGTGCTGAGACCCTTATAAAACACTTTCCAGACATTGATTCCCTTAATCCTTATGAGGAGTCTAGGAAGAAGTAGAGATGAGGGAATGCAGCTCAGAGAGGTAAGGTAACTTGTCCAAGGCCACACAGCCAGTGTGTGGTGGAGGAGGGATGTGTAGGCTGGTTATAGGATCTGTGAGCCTAACCACTCGGGTAGACTACCATACCATGAGGAGTGCTTTGGGTCTATTGCCTCCAAGTTTCCGTCAAATCAGTGTGTGGTGGTCTGAAGGCTAGTTGGGAAGGTAGAGGGTAGAGGAGAGGACCCATCATTAGGAGAAGGGCCAGATGCTCTGCGGAGGGGGCATGGAGCCAGAAGCTTTGGGAAGGACTTCCCTCTGACTTAGGGTTGCATGTGGAGCTGGGCTCCTCACTGTGAGGATGGCTGGGAGCAGTTGTCTGCTCAGAGGACGGTGTTATTGTAGGAAGAAAGTGAGAGTGGTTCTGGGAATTTCCAGCTGCTGGCAGGGAGGCCCAGCTGGGTGGGCCCTGCAGGAAGAGTGGGGGAGATGGAGCCTTTGCTGAGTTTTCTCAGCTGTGTCCCGAGAGAAACATGGGGTGAGCAATATAGCGAGAGCAGGGCCATCAGCCTGCTGAAAAGAGGACAGGGTCATCTCAGTGTTCAGAGCTTGCTGCCTTTGCCCAAAAGTTTTCCCTCTGAGATCTGCCCTTTCACATCCACCCACCAGTCCTCCACTCCACAGCTGGGGGGCCTCCCAGGGACCAGGGGCTGGGCAGATGCTGAGGGCCAGTGTGGTTACTTCCTACTATGTCCTGGACAGTGATGGATACCAGGGGAGAGGTAAAAATGAAGAAAAGATGTGACTGGCATTGATGGAATTCCATGGCCATATCCAGGAGCTGCCCCATGGCTTGAGCAATGTGCTCTCCATTGTAGACCCCAGGTGCCTCTTACCCTTCCACCCCTGTAGTGACCTTAGTGTTCCAGAGGCTGGTTTGGGGGTCTGCTCCCTGACTACTTACACATTCCTCAAAGGCCACTGCCGTAAACCCAGGCTCTAGTCTCACACCTAGCCTTCACTGTGAATGTTCAACTGGAGCAGAACCAGTAGGAGGAGCTGCAGGCCCAGAAAGATGCCTGGGTCGGGGCTGGGGGAGTGTGGAGAACAGTGTGGGTCTTGAAGGGCTTGAAGTGCCCAGGGAGCCTTCTAGAGTCAGAACTGTTTTCTTCTCCTCAGTGGTGTGGTCATTGCAAAGATTTAACATAAACCAACACCCTGGAGAAGGCACAGGGCCTCCCGTTGCAGGCAGAAGTGTTTTTGAGGCTAGGGAGGGGGCTTCCTTCCCCTGAAAGGATGCTCAGGAGCTGAGTAAACCAAGGCCAAGCCCTGTAATAGACAAAGTTGAGAATGGAGGCAGGGCTTGGACCGTTCAGGCCAGGGTGAAATTGCGGGAACCTCCCCTTGGTTTGGCCACCAGGGAGACCATGGAGGTGACCCTCTTGCCCTTTCCCTCATCTCATTCCTGGTGTGGATCATTGTTTTCCTCCCCCCATCCCTTATCCAAGGCTCCCCCAAACAGGGAGAGTGCTTGCTTGTAAAATTGGCTCAATTCAGGCCATGAGGGTTTAGGTGGGTCGAGGTGAGCTCTGTGCAACGGTCCTACAACTAAGGTCACCGTGACCTGCCACCTGCCCAAAGGGCCAAACACACCCTCCAAATTCTCCAAGCCCAAGATAAGGGCAGCAATGATTTGTGTGGCCAGAAGAGGGCAGCAGAGCACACCCAAGGTCCTCCCTCCAAAGAGGACTGACCACTTCCCTTCCTGCCACCACCTCAACCCCAGCCCCACTCCCACACCCC